GCTCTGAGCTCAGGTGCTTGCTGTCTACCCAGGGTCAAGGTGAGGGTGCTAGCTTGGATTCACTCGGATGTGACAGAGACCAAACCATAGCCCTGCCAGCTAATTACCTGCTCAGGATATAAAGACAAACAGGGACCGTGGCACAAAAATGAAAGAGTCAGCAAGCTGGAGCGGGAGAAACCAGCCAGAAAGGTCCATTGGCTCCAACAGCTTGGCTGGTGCCAGGTCTGGCCTGAGGATTGACGTGTGAAGGAGAGCCCTGTGTGTGAGCACATTGGACAGGATCTCCATCTCTCCAGTTCCTGAGATTAGTAGCTTCTCTCAGGCCCTTAACATTTTTTAATCGTATTTTCTGTAAGCCTTTTCTCTCCAAACCGTGCTCAGTCCGTGCTGATGCTTAAGACACTCAGGATGACTGTTCCTCAGCTCCCACGTGTGTGAGGTGCCACACTTGGCCAGCGCCTGTCTTTGCTAAGGGCAGCCCCCACCCCATCCAAATAAATTAAGTTATTCCTGAAACAGCCAACAACTTGTTAAGAAGAATAGGGAGGTATTGCTCTGAGGGACACATTCAACCTACACAAATAGGTTTTTCAGATGCAGGAGTGACCATGAGAACCACGATTTCTCTTTTGCCCACTTTCCCCCTGTTTTAAAACCAGAAGGAATGAGTCCCCCAAAGGGTGGAGGAGACAGCCCCACTCCACTGTATGCTCTCCTGGAACATGGCTTATAGCGCACGGCCAGGAGCTGCTAAAGAGAATAGTAAGAGAAATATGGCCTCATTAAAGCTCCTGGAGAGGCAGAAGTTAACTTTGCTTTAAATGTGACTATAATTAGTATTATAATGGCCACGCTCGGCTGTTCTGAGCTGTTTGCAAGCTCCACCTTTATCACCCTGTGTCCCCTGGTTGCCTGGTGTCACGCGCCTCCAAAAGCACCGCTTCCCCGAGCCACGGCTGAGGGCAGCTGGGCTGGGCTGAGGTGTACTGGGTGCTAATTGTCCTTCCCATGGTGCAAATACTGCAGTTTGGCTAAAAGTCATCCCCTGAGTACTTGCAGAGCTGCCAAACACAAATACATGACGGTGGGGATGAGTGTGAATATGGAGGGAATCCAATTTCTGCTGGTTTTGTGGCCTGGGAACAGCGTTGCCAGGTTCTTCCCCAAAGTAGTTCTGCTTCGTTGTCTCTGGCAGCAGAGACCACCCTTCCACCGCCCCCCCAAAATGCTCCTCGGGGTCCTCCTTTAGAGCTGGACAGAGTTCAAAATCCAAGAAACAGGGTTTTACAGATGGGGAAACTGAGTCACCAGCCAGGGAGCTGACATACCAGCCACCACGCACCCTGAGCCAGGAGTGTCCACCTCGTTCCCCAGGCGCTGGGCACCCAAAGGTGCCATCAGACCCTCGGTGGTGTGTCCTGAGCCCAGCCTGAGCTGCTCATCCACGGCTCTAAGGCCAGAAAGAGGGCCCTGACGCTGTCCCTAGCACAGCTCAGGTGACCGGCCACGTGTGTGACCACCAGCCCAACTCAACAGATCTTGTACCTCTGTCCTGGCGTCCCGGGGGGTGCCTGTCCTTCCCTGGCAGCGCTGCCCTCCCACCGGCTGCGTCCTGCTCCCTCGCGGGCTCGGGCCAGAGGGATATTGTGTTGTTAGTGACGGGCGATTGCCCTCGAGTCTGGGTAAACACAAAAGCTCCTTGTGCTGACAACCAGCAGCAGCGAGACAAGGGCTGACAGGCGCGGGTTTCATTCCCTGCTGGTCTCCTGCCCAGAGAGAAGGTGCCTTTCCTGCAGAGCTGGGCTGTGTCCAGTCTACCTGCTCCTGCCAGAGGGAGGAGAAGCCCCAAGGTGCCCTGTCACAGGGGCGTTTTTGTAGAGGCAGAGGGGCTGGTTTGCCTCACCTCACCCTTGGTGTGAGACAGAGCTGCTGGGGTGGGACAGGGACGCTGTCACACCTTGGATCAAGGCTCCTGCCTTGTCTCGCTGCTTCTTTGCTGCCTCCCCGTGTGCTCCCAGCCTGTGCCTCAGTTTCCCCACTCGCAAAAAGGAGGCTGGTGATTGCCGTGTCAGGCTTTGAGGTCCAGCAAAGGAGAAGCTGTAGGAAGACTCAGATCAGCTGGGACTCCTGGGCACAGCCCCCCTCTCCATCTCCACGCTGCTCAAACCCTGGCTCTCCCAGCTGGACGAGGCCGTGTTTGAAGTTGAGGGTGGTGTTTATCGGTTCAGCTCAAATGAAGAGGGTGAGGAGTGAAAGCAGAATCACCCGGGACCAGCCTGCAAGGGGCTGGTCAGGGCCTCTCTCTCCCCCCAGCAGCGCCTGCTGGCAGTGCTCAGTCCACCCTTGCCCGCCCTGAACTCAAAGCAACCTCCTTCAGCCTGGCCAAGGTGAGAAGAAGTTTGTGCCTGTTCACTACTCACATGGGCCAAAAATAACTGAAGTTTGGATCAGGCTTTGGGCTGCTTGGAGGGGGGTGTGTGCTTGGCCTTTTCGACAGAGGGAGAGGGTTGGAGTCTGGTTGCAGGAGCTGGGAAGGGAATCTGCCTCCAAAGCCCCAGGGCTGGATGCTCCTCGCTCGGTGGGTTTAGGGTCCTTCTGGTCCTGTGTCAGTGTGTCCCCAAAGCTCGCAGCGTCGGGGAGGCTGCTTCAGACCCACGACCAGCCCAAATGACAAAAATAACTTGACGTGACAAACGCCGGGGCTGCTCCATCCCAGCCCCAGCAGGATGGTCGGCAGCTTCAAAAACCATCTCCCAGGGCAACAGGGCCTGACCTTTTGTTTCGCTGTTGTGTGCTCCATCACCAGGATAAACAAACACAGCCTGGCCCTGCGGCTCCCGTTCACCTTTCCAGGACCGTGGCTCTGTCACAACCTGTTTCAAAGCCACCCCCGGACCCCAGGAGACGCCTGTGTCATGGCAGGACCCTGGCACAGCCCGTGCCCACGCCAACACTGGGAACTGCAGGGTTCAAGGATGGGGGCATGGTCAGGCTGCCAGGGCTAGAAATGGACCAGGGGGCAGAGAGTTTGGGTCTCGTTCAGGTGTTTCTGGAGCACATTACTTGCAGGCATCAGTGGTGAACTTCTCCCCTTGTGGCTTTTCCTCCCCTGGCCCAGGGAAAGCACCTCTTGCTTGAGTGTCCACAAGGAATGTGCAAGCCCTGGGTCCCTGCCAGTCCGCGTGCCCAGGGAGACGGGCATGGCACCCGCCTGGCACTGCGCATGTGTGTGGGGAGCCGGCGGGACATCCCATGGGACGAGCCGATGTCATCGCTACCTAGTCACAGACTTGTGGAAAAACCCCCAAAACCCATCCATTGGGAATATTTCCCCATCTAGAGCACACCTCCGTGGCTGGGGAGGGGGTCAGGGGGCATGGATGGCCATGGGGACCGGTGGAGGGTCCAGCAGGTCAAGGGAAGTCATTCTCCCCCTCTACTCTGCACTGGTGAGGCCACAACTGGAATACTGTGTCCAGTTCTGGGCTCCCCAGTTCAAGAGGGACAGGGAACTACTAGAAAGAGTCCAGCGAAGGGCAACAAAGATGATTCAAGGATTGGAGCATCTCCCTTATGAGGAGAGACTGAGAGAGCTGGGACTCTTTAGTCTGGAGAAGAGAAGGCTGAGGGGAGACCT